GCCATTTAGCTATTTCTCTCGCTTTTGTCCAAAACCAAAGATAACCAACACATTCTCACACCCGAAGCATAAAAAAATGACGATGGGTGACCAAGTGTTTGTTTCCGATGTATTGGTTTGCAACGTTCACGGTAAGACCCACATTTAACCAACATTAACCTCTAACCTTTTGCTATTTAACCTTCCCCTCACCCACATCCTAACCTTAACCCAGTTTCTGTTTCTAAACTTCTCGGTCATCGTGTTAGAGAGGGACGTTACATCTAGGGACGTTTAAATAGCAAAAGGGTAAAGGTCACTGTTCTAGACTGGTTTAGATCGTACCTTTCTAACAGAAGTTTCAGTGTCTGTATAAACCAAATCATGTCAGATTCTACTGATCTGTTCTGTGAGGTACCCCAAGGCTCTGTTTTGGGTCCACTGTTGTTTCTGCTGTACATACACCCTCTTGGACAGATGCGTGCAATCAGGGGCTGTGAACGAGCTGTTTCTCCCCTCCCTGAAAATAATCATCAGGTGATCTAGGTCTCAATCATTGCAATCAGCTGGTGCATGAACACCTGTTTCCAACTACTAGCACAGCATAAGTTTGGTGGCATAACTGAAGTGTCAGCGGAAGCGTCAGCCCTTGTGTCTCAGCCCCTCTGGTGTAAGATACTCTGGGGTAAAGACATACGTGTCTACCTGCGTGTGTCCACAGAGCAGGTACACAGAGCAAAGAAACTCGACCCAGACGCTGCTCCATTGACACTTTGCAAAATGTGCCATTATCCTATACCTGTGATCACTGGCTTCAGAGGAAGGTCACACACAGCAAACCGTTTTCGCAACCTTCAAAACCTCCGCTCGCTAAAACCAACTCCCCAAGAAGACACCCACCTGTCTGCGGGACTGTGGAACTGCCAATCACCTGTAAACAAAGCAGACTTCATTACCGCATATGCAAACCACCTGTCACTCGATGCACTGGCTCTCACTGAGACCTGGATCAAACCATGTTGATTACTGCAACGCCCTTCTAACTGGTCTTCCAGGCTGTACTGTGAGACCTCAAATGGTCCAGAACGCAGCGGCGCGTCTGGTCTTCAATCAGCCAAAGAGAACACACATCACCCCTCTGTTCATTGAGCTCCACTGGCTACCGCTAGCAGCACGCATCAAATTCAAATTGCTAACACTAGCATACGAAGTCCAAGATGGTACGGCTCCTACCGGCTCTACCTGAATCCTCTTGCAAAGGCTTACGTCTCGGCCCGGCCTCTCTGGTCATCACAGGATTGTCGGCTAGCAGTGCCTACACCACGCTCAGGACAATCCAGACTCTTCTTATGCATCGTTCCACAAATGTGGAATGACCTTCCAAGCACTACCAGAACTGCGGCTTCCTTTTCAAGTTTCAAGAAACTCCTGAAGACCCTGCTCTTCAGAGAGCATCTTCTAAACAAGCACCTTCCCTGCAACCCCCCCCCCCCCCCCCCCCCCCCCCCAACCGTCCACTCCTTTGTTCCCTCCTCTCCATGACTGATGTCAAGTTGTTGTTATTGTTGTTGTTAGCCTCAAGGGCAATATGCCGATTATCACTTGTAAGTCGCTTTGGAAAAAAGCGTCTGCTAAATACATAAACATAAACAAACATAAACTTGATTCTTTTCATAATATCTCTTATCACCTATATGCAGATGATATTCAGCTGTACTGCTCCTTTAAGGATTCTGAGTTCTATAAACTGTCTGAATTACTAGAGTGTCTTTCAGCTATCACCAGCTGGCTAGAAGGTAACTTCCGTCAGTTAAACTCTGAAAAGACTGCATGTCTGATCATTGCCCCAGAGAGCATGGTTCCCCTGATTAGTCTAAAACTTGGTCATTTATCCTCTGCTGTCAAGACAAAGTTTAGAAATTTGGGTGTTATTTTTGACCAATCAATGTCTCTTGAAGGTCACTCAAAAACGTTGGTCTGTAGCTGTTTTATCACTTAAGAAATATCTCCAAACTGCGAAAGTTGGTGTCAAAACATGAACTTGAAATGGTTATCCATGCCTTTATCTCCTCCCATCTAAATTACTGTAACACACTTTTCACGTTTTAACAAAAAAGCCTTTGGCCGCCTTCAGTTGGTCCAGAACTCTGCAGCGAGGCCCCTAACTGTAGCAAACAGAAGAGCACACATCACTCCTATTCTAACGTCTCTGCACTGGTTACCTATTAGAATTCATTTTAGAATCCTGATTATAACTTTCAGGGCTCTACATGGTCAAGCTCCTCCCTACATTACTGGACTGTTAAAGCATGCTGCAACTCGAGCCCTCAGGTCCACACACCAGAACCTTCTAGAAGTTCCAAAGACCAGATACAAAAGTTGAGGTGATCACTCCTTCCAGACTGTTGCACCCCGACTCTGGAATGATCTTCCTTATCCTTATGCAGCATTGACAGTCTTGACACTTTTAACAAACAGCTAAAGACCCTTTTATTTAACGCTGCTTTTAACTAAACCTTTCATTTTCTTATTTTTAACTCACATTTTTAATCTTTCATCTGTTTATGAAAATCTATAATTTTATGACTTTATTTTTTTCTGATGTTAATCTATTTCTGTTTTGAGAGCATTTTGATTTTATGATGTTGATCTATTTATGATTTTATGACTTTGTTTTATTTTGTTTTCATCTATGTGAAGCACTTTGTGATTCTATGTCTGTGATAAGTGCTATATAAATAAAATTTACTTACTTACTTACTTACTACAATCACAGTTTTGCATGCACTAGGGGCTGCATGACTTAATTTTTTTAAAGTCGACAGCCAAGTAATGAAAATCGAGTCGACTTTTACAAGTTGTTGATGACAATTAAAATTGCGCCAACATTTTCAAAGTTAAACACATCTCTTTTAACAACGGTACTTTCTGCATCTATACTGCTCCGCTTCAGCCCTCTCCCCCCTCCCCCTGCGCAGTGGCCGCAAACTCACTGATGCGCCTGTAGCCTCGCAGAGTTCCTGCTGTTCTAAATATTAAAAATAATTATTTCATTTTCTGTTCCTCACTTCTGATTACCTTCAGTGGTGTCTGTTTGCTGCAACCAGCAGGTACAAAAACTAACTTGTTTTTATTTGACTATTCTTCTGTCCTGTCTGTTTATTATCTTCCTGCATCTCCTCTCAGTCCTAAAGAAAAACAGCTACCTGGGTTCATATATATTCACCTTATGAGTTACCTTTGAACTGCAGTTCTAAAAGATCTACCGGCCGCAAAAACAGCGGAGTGGGCGTTGCTCGCCGGCCGCATCAGTGAGGTGCGTCCCCGGAGGACAAAACAGGTGATGCGCCCCGCTCCACAGCAGTGAAAAGCATCAGGCACAAATAAAAGACAAAAAACATAAAAGGAAATGAGCCGACATGAACAATCGCGTGTTAAATTAGTTTTTGAGGTGGTGACACCTAATTTGATAATGTTACTGTGGCCGTGCTCAGGACGCAGATGTCTGGAGCGCGTCAACGATCAGAGCTTTGCATGCGCAAGCTGGTTAAGGTTAGGATGGGGGTGAGGGGAAGGTTAAATTGCAAGAGGGTAAAGGTCACAATTTGGTTAAATGTCCGTTTTACCGCGGGTGTCAGTACCGACGCTCTGGCACAGCACGTCACCTCCTGACGCGCAGGGGCTCATCACCTTCTGTCTTTTCCGTGGACTGCATCTTGTTGGTCATTATCACGTGACAGCAACTAGTCGATGACAGGCATAAAAAGTCACTACAGAGCAGTGAAGTTGACTAGTCGACTAGTTCATACAACCCCTAGCATGCACAAGAAGATTATGTTTAGGATGGGGTGCGGGGACGTTTAAATAGCAAAAGGGTAAAGGTCACGGTGCGGGGACGTTTAAATAGCAAAAGGGTAAAGGTCACAATTCGGTGAAATCTCCATTTTACCGCAGCATTTGGAAAACGATGCTCTGGCACAGCGCGACGCCTCCCGACACCTTGGGGCTCCCAACATGCCTGAAACAAATGCTTGGTCACCCATCATCATCTTTCGATGCTTCAGGTGTAAGAATGTGTCACAATAACAAGTTTCAGACTGAAAGCAACTGCTGGTCTCGCTGAACTTCCCTGGGTCCTCCACTCATTACACACTCACGTATTTAGCAACACATCACAACTGGTGTGAGAGGTTCTCTGCTCAATAACATCAGAGAAGGAGAAACAGCCGGCTGCTACCACTTAAACTTTAGGACAAACTACAAGAGTCCCAAAAAGAAAAACAATATTTGGACAAGCTTTGATTGATGGATTGATGGATTGATGGATTGATTGATTGATTGATTGATTGATTGATTGATTGACAACAAAAGATGTTTGGACCTAGAAACTAGCAACTGGTGTTTAGGGCTATCTCGTTTCCTCCAGCGTCGCAGGTTTCTGGTTCCAGCAGAAGTGCCTCAGGGAAGACTACTCGGCAGTAATTACTGGATTATAATTGGGGATGGTGCAAATAACAGACTTATCTATGAACATTCAAAACTACAGCACATTCATCCTAGAGAAATTAGGACAGAACCTCCATTTGGATTTTAAGAATTTCAACCCACTGTGTTTAAAATGGGAGCGGATGGTTTAGTGGGATGGAGAGGACCCAGCCTTTGTCTCATGTTGCTGGTACAAATTGAGAATAAACAACTTTTCAACTTCCCCTTCACTTCGGTATTTTTCAGTAACATTTGTTCCTGGTTGTGCGCTGTTGCTATGGGAACACATAGGTTGTGCAGTTAAGATACACACACACAAAAAATCCATTTTATGTTATTGCTTTTCTCTGTGTTGGCCATAGTGCTGTCAGCTGTTTTTGCTGAGAAAGGCCAGCGCCTGAGTCAGTCTGTCCCATCTAAAGCACAACAACTTACTGGAAATTCTATGTTTTACTAGGAAATGAAGTGAGGAATGAACTAAACCAGAAAGTGTGTTTGTATTTTGGATCAAAGCATGTAAGCAGACAAAAACTCACCTCTGCGTTACTCGATGCCCTCCAAGGACCTGAGAATTCTGCCCACCGGAGGACGCCGGCTACTGAAGATCAGAAGATCCTGCAGGGTCTGTAGTGGGACGAGTTCCTCCAATTGGGTCAAAATCTTTTCTTTTAATCAAACATTTCTGTCTTATGTGATCCAACCTGGTCTGATTCTGTTGTATAGCACAGACAAGGGGAATTTAATTTTTGTTTCTCCACCAGTCAACCAAAGCACGAGTCGTCCCAAGTAGAGCTGCAAGAAAAGAAAAAATACAGGGATGGAAATCAATTGGAAATTTTTAATCATATTTCATTCATAAAAGTAAGGAGGAAAAAAAATATGGAAAATTAAACCATTCAGAACTGAAATTGCCCTCCAGTCTTGATTAGGTGTGCATATTATGGGCTCTTTTTTCACGATTAATCAAATGTCCATGGTCAAATATTCTCTAATATTTATGGGCAAATTTCACACCAGACCATAAGGCAGCAGTGACAGCACAGTTTATTACGTGATGAAAAGCAAAGTCATTCACTTTTTGTTAGATTTGAGTTTTAAAATAGAGAATAAAACGGAACAAATGAAGTAAGAATCACAGAGAAACATCAGATTTGAGTCTGCCTCACACACTTTTCACAGCTCACTGCCATGCAGTCGACTGAAGTTACTGCAGGCGCTCAGCATGTTAGACAGAGGTGTTAGAGGAACAGCTAGTCCTTGCAGGCTGTTGTTTCTAAATCTCTCTTTAACAAGAAGTGGCTTTAAAATACCTCGTTATAAATTTGTTAGGTTGGCACAAATGCCAATTTGTGAGTGTGTCTGCAGCTCAACAAGTTTGCTCACAGACAGAGGTAGTGGCGGTTTTACTATTAGGCATAGGTCGGCGGTCGCCTGGGGCCCCCTTATGTTGGGGGCCCCCTAGCCCTGACTGCTGGCACCTCTCTGTTAATGCCACAATGGACTATTCCTTTAACACGCCAATGCACAAACAGGAAGTGATTGGTAGTCATTCCACTCCAATCCAGTTGGTGGCAGTAATGCACCAAATCGTTGTTTGCATAGTGCCACAAGACCACAAATGAGAAGAAGAAGAGAAAGCAGAAAAAGAAGAAGAGAGGCGGGAGCATCCGTAACAAACTAGAAGCAGTAGTCAAAACATTAAGCATGAAAAGGAGTTATCCTAGTGGTTCCGATAAGAGAAAGAAGCAGTTTGCTTTAAATAAACTTTTATCTTCACTTCCAAAAGTGACGTCGTTTTTCTTTGTTAACATCAAAAGGAAGCAGAAAAGGAAAGACAATGGAAAATGTTTAAAGGGAGGAAAACATAGACCAAAATGGAAAATAGAAGAAATGTAAGAAAGGCAAAAAGCACAGGAGCACTGACAGGAAGAAGAAAGCACTCATAGGGAGAGAAAGACAGGAATAAAGAGGACTAATAAAAAGTGAAAATAACTCATGGCAGAAGAGGGGAGAGTTTCACAAATCCAGTTCAAGATAAGATTGTCGAAAATTTTGTGTAAGGGGGCCCCATGTCTGTGTTCGCCTTGGGCCCCCAAATTGCTAAATCCGCCTCTGGACAGAGGAGAGGAATACCAACAGTGGAAACGCGTCAGAAGAAGCCTCTCAGTTTCAAACTCCTGTTAAGTTTTTTTCTGCTGAACAAAAATCAGCCTTTTTATCAAATCTTAGCTAATTTCCACACACTGCACGCACACACATAAGCATCCACTGGGCAGCACATATAAATTGCATTTGGCCAACTGAAATGTCAGAGGACTTAAATGCAACAAATTTGCCTGATGTAAAAGGGGCGGAGTCACAGCAGCACTGAACCGACAGGAAGAAGCCAAGCGGAATATCTTCCACCTCCATCACCAGGTAATGATTTATTTGGCTTTCAGCAAAGTTTGGACAAGAAAGGGTCAGAAGAGACATCTGAGAGCGGAAATAATGAAAGGAAATAAGCGTCAAACAGGAACGCTGAGGTCAGTGTCACAAACAGGAGATCTCTAAATAAAACCTAAAGGAGACTTTATAAATGTAGAGGTGACATAAAAGTGAGGTTTACGTGTGAAAACGTAAAACACCAAAATGAGCTTGAAAACTAAAAACAGTGAAAGTTGAAGATTAAACCGGAAACAAATGTGTTTCTAAGGATATTTCAAGTCTCATTCTTTAAAACAATTGACTAAAGAATTGGCTTCAGACTCTGTCGTTACCACTGATGCTGTTTTGATGAAAACAATCCAATACACGACCTTTTCCTCCCTTCAGTTGACTTATAAATGAAGACACCTGGTTGGACAAATATTTGTCAATGACCAGAGGAGACGGATGCAAAAGACAAAGCAGGGGAAGAAGACGCTCGCTGTCATGAATACATAATGTTCTCATGCATTTATGCAGCAGGAAAAGTGACCTGATTGTCAGAGGAAAACAAAAAGTGGGTGGGCAATAAAGAAGAACAAGTTTAGAACAGATTTGTGTGTGTGTGTGTGTGTGTGTGTGTGTGGGGGGGGTGAATTCATGACAGAAAGTTTTTTTTCTATAAGGCTGCTGTTGTTGCATCCGTATCTAATTCGCCACCTTTTCATCTTCATACAAAGGGAGATGAATAGACTATATGGATGCAAGGGACATCAACCTAATAGAAAAGAATGCTGTCATCAGCGCTTATGTGTTAATAGTATTTCTCTCAACTACTTTTAAGATTCTCGTATTTTTTCTATTTTCTTTTCCTCACCATCTTTCTGAAAGGCATGATGTTTTTTTTCTGTTTTATTTCGCTCTTCTGCTCGCTCATCTGCTTCCATGCCATGCTTTTCCTCCATTATTAGTAACTTATGACTGCAAAGATAAAATATGTAATTACTGCTGCCCCTTTCCCAGCCTTTACCATTCAATTTCCTGTGGTTTTTGTGTGAGTGGGTGTGTGGATGACATTTGGGTGACTGCCACAAAAGCAGAACGCATCACTTCTGTCACCACAGACGGTGCACCTCTGTGACTCGGCCAATCGAGTCACTCCTGCTCTAAAAACCCGACTGACTGATTTGTGAGCGCTAGCCATTCAACTGAAGATTGGGTTAAATAAAATAAAATAAATAATAGTGAAAAGAGGACTGAGCTGTGCAAACACACAAAAAGTAACACAAAAGCAATGATTTTTTCACACATGAAAATATGCTCATACATACAGACACACAAAAACTATTGTTAAAATCGTCCTACTTTGCATCAGAAACCTTAAAGTGTGGACTTTAAAATGTTTCCAATTTCGCTCAGATGTTACACAGACCTTTAAAGGTGCAAAATGTAAGAATGAGGTTCGAATGACATCTTGTGGTCAAATGTGTGTACTGCAGTCCATTTAAAAAAACGTAAGCTAACTATCGTACTCCCATTACATGAGTTTCATGGCTGTTGCCAGTCACAGATCAGCACCAGAAGATTCTAGATGACAAGCGAAGACAAGTTGCACACAGCATTAGTACACTTGGGTGTTTTACGGTAGGAGCATTTACTACACTTTTTATGGTAATTGGAGTATTGGAGGAAGTGTGGTTGTTTACCATCTTCAGAATCAGAGTCAGAATGAATTTTATTGCCAGCGCTCCAGCGATCCAGAGCATAGGAACTTGACTCGACAGTACAACCTGACCAAGGTTACACACACATATAAACAGGGCAGATACAGGCAGACCACGAGAGCAGCCACGACGGCGCTCCTTTTAGTAGATGAAGAGGGGAATACATGAGGAGAGTTCAGGGGAGGGAGAAAAAGGCATTAACAGGGTTACACCGGCAGGGTGTAGCTCTCCAATGCAAAAAAACACCCAACATGTAAGCACGAACGTCACAGTTCACAACATGAGACCCGGTAGGTAGGGGGAGGGGCTGGGACCCTGGTTTCCTCAGCGGGGGCTGCCTGTGTGGCGCTCAGCCAACTGAATCCGCAGGTGGGAGGGAGGTCATGGGAAAGCACAGAGAGCAGTGAGTGCCTTCAACTTGATGACCTCGCTGTGCAGAGACCACAATCTGAAGGCGGGGGGGTAGGTAGGGTTTCACAGCATTTGTCTGCATTCCTTCCATCGTGGGGGTTGTTTTGCATGCAACTCCAAGGCTGCTTATGGCGTCAGATTCGATAACAGAACTTTGTTTGGGTCGGACAGAGATAATGTTTCCTCTCTGCCTTAAGTCTGTATTGATCATTCAACGCCTCCAGTGAAGCCAATTCAGTGATTAAACATCTCCACACCGTCCGGTGACCCTTTCCGAGATGACATCAATCCTGCGCGCTAACACCGGTAACGCAGCTAAGACATTGTCCAGCTTGTGATTCACCTCGAGCAACGTCCCAGTCTGTGAGGTATCCACACGGACGGTGCCGTCCATGGTTGCGGGTCGCCCTCCAATCGCTCCCGTCATCCCAATTTTTCGGAAAACCAGATATCCTCCCACTCCAATCAGAAGAAATCCAGTGATCATCAGGCCAAATATCCACATATCTTCGACCTCCTCAATGGACAGCTGAGAGAGACAGATGATATTCCACTTCTTCCAGGAATCGAACATATATCCCGCTGCATGTGTCCCGTGAGGACAAGCGCGAGCCCCCTCCTCCGTTCTCATCGTAGAAAAAATCTTATCAATCGCGTTGAATGACCAATTTATTAAATCCATGCTGAAAAATAGTGATTGCCAGAGGAAATGCAGAGAAGCGATCTGTAGGCAGACGGGACAAAAAGAGCCTTGGGAAAACACAGATAAGGGAGCAAAAGCAGAAGCGACTGTTCTCTGTGAGTGCTAGAGAAGAAGAACTCACTTGCTGTTAGTTTGCTGTTATTGTTCTGAATGACTCATTAAAGGAAGTAAAACACCACGGTCACACATACCTCCCTGTTGATGGTCATTGAAAGGTAGCTTGAAATATTTTTAAAGCCATCTATGTTAATAATTCATTGTTAGCATTATTAGCTCAACGTTAGCTTCTAGCCTTCTTTACTCTGTATTAAAGTTAAACAAAAATATGTCATGGCTTTTAGGGGTACAAGAGATACTTCTGGGTTGCTCCTGTTTACTGGCTTCAGTTCTTTAAACACATCAGGGGCTTTTTACCTGCTGGTGTTGAACAAAGGTGTGACCAAGTCACTGCTTTACAAGTCACAAGTAAGTCACAAGTCTTTCCAGTCAAGTCTTGAGTCAAGTCTAAGTCAAAGACATCCAAGTTGAGTCCAAAGTCAATGATGTGG